CTTCTGTGTCCCACCCTCCTCCCACACTGTCTCTGGTATCCATGGTTGCTTTTTATGCCTTTTCCCCCCATTTTAGACATTAACCTCAGTGAGTAGAATGAACATACTATAAAGTAGCACCTAGCTAGGGCTATATAGCTTACTACAGCCATCAAATATGCATTTTTTAAAACTTTTAAAAAAATTAATTAATGTACATTCCTCTAATCATCGTCACAGCATACAAAAAGTGGTTTCCCATCCAGAATATACTGCACAGTGGCTTAATCATGTATGTGTGTGTGTGTGTGTGTGTGTGTGTGTGTGTATTTACCCCTATGTCTAACCCTCTGCCTTTCCCACCCTCTTCTCACACTATCTCTGGTGTCTACAGTTGTATTCCATTTCTTCCCCCCAATGAAGGTGTCTTCTGCGGCCTGCTCCCTTGCCTCTCCTGCGTTGGGAGAGGGGATTATTACCAAGATAAAGGGAAAGGAGGGGCTGAAAGCCAAAAAGTTACTTTACCTTAAAAAATTTTAAAAAGGAAAAATTACAAAAAAAGTGAAAGTACAGAGACAGAGGTAGAGAGAGACAAAGACAGAGACAGAGACAGGAGGCTTGAAAGTCTGCCTACCATGCGAGTTTGTGGGCTGGAGCTGAATTATCAGTGGAAAAAATCTTCATTTCTCCTATTCCCCTGAAATCACTAGTTCTCAGTAGCCATAAAGGTGTCTTCGGAGGTCTGCTCTCTTGCCTCTCCACACAAGTTTGTGGGTTGGAGGCTGAATTATCAGTGGAAAATCTTTATTTCTCTTATTCCCCTGAAATCACTAGTTCTCAGTAGCCATGAAGGTGTCTTCTCTAACAGTTCCATTTGATTATTTTATGGTGTTTATTTCCTCTTTCAGATCTTGCAAGACCTACCTCACCTTCTGGAACTTGTCAGCTCTTTTCTCCCACCTCTTTTGGAGTTCATTGTCTCTCTTCTCTTCCATCTCTGTTAGCTTTGTCACTATGAATATTCTAAATTCTTTATCAGACATTTCTGTGAGTTCCATTGTACTGTCTGTGGATGAAGAGAAGTTATTCTTTTCCCTTGGGAGAGAGGTATTTTCTTGGTTTTTCATATTTCTTGTGCCTCTGTGGTGGTTTCTAGTCATCTGGTGGGTTATTAGTTTCTTCCTAATTTCGAGAAGTTCAATCTGAGTGAGCAGAGACATGCCGGAGGAGGTGACCTGTAAACTTTTTGCCATTCCGTTTTTCTCCAGGGGGCTCTACCAGAGTGAATTCTCAGCAGAAAATATTCATTTCTCTTATTCCCTGAAAGCACTAGTTTTCAGCTCCCATGGAGGACCATAATCAGTGGTTTTTAAACTGTGGGACTAGTATTTCCTTTTTTAATAAACATCATTACAGTTGGGATACACCACCTGGGCTGCCACTATGGAAACATCAAGATTGTTAATTTCCTGCTCCAGCATTCTTGAGGGATTTGCATTTCACAGCACAAGAATTGAGCATTTCTAAGCCAAGTCTCTAACAGTATAATTTGGTATAATTATCTTAAGAAACTCTCCCTGATTCAGGCCTGCAGCCAGATGGAAAAACAATTTCCAGCCCATTGGTTTCGTAGTGACTGTTTCTGAAGTCTTCGAGAAAACACAGCAGTCATACTTGGGAAATCTCTTTCAACCAGCCATGCTTGTGTCCAAGAAGAGTTAAGAGTCATAAAAAGGAGGTCGAGTTTGCCCATGTGTGGGAGGAACTTTTCCACAACTTGAGCCAAATTTTAAAGATGGGAAATGATCCAGAGGGCAAAAGACAATTGAAAAACCTGTCCTGTGACTCTTGGAATGTATTTTTTTTTTCCCTGTTGATTTCCCATATTTCTTGTGCCTCTGCAGTGGTTTCTGGTTATCTGATGGTCATCAACTTATATGCTTTTTCCTAGTTTTTAGAGTTTAATCTGAGCATTAAGAGGCATGCAGGAAGAGGTGATCTGCAATCTCTCAGCAGTACTGTTTTTCTCTCTTTGTGCAGCAGATTTCATGGAAATTCAAGTTTACTTTGACCCTAAAAGAATTCAGAATTTGGCTACTGTGCACCTATACCTGTCTAGAAACTTGGTGTGTGGAGACTGGCTAGATCTGGGGGGCAGAAGACTGAAGTCTGGGCAGAAAGTCTTCAGTTGTTCTAGTTCCTGAAAGAGGCCACTCAGAACTAAATTATAGATGGCTAGTGATTGGCTTGTTCTAGCTGGATTATCTTAAGAAACTCTCCCTGATTCAGGCCTGCAGCCAGATGGAAAAACAATTTCCAGCCTGTTGTTTTTGTAGGGGGTCAAGAGTGTGAAGTCTGGGCAGAAGGTTTTCAGTTGTCCTAGTCCTGAAAGTGGTTTCTCACAACTCAGCTCCAGATGGCTGGTGATTGGCTTGTCCTGGCAAGAACAGGGGGGCAGGATTGTGAAGTCTAGGCAGAAGATCTTCAATTGTCCTAGTCCCTGAAAGATACTGGTCAGAACTCTCCCCCTTCTTATAAGGGCACTAATCCCATTCATAAGGACTTCACCCTCTTGACCTATTTCCCCAAGGCCTCACTTCCATTTACTATAAAAATGGGAAATAAAGCCTCACATGAGAAGGGTGTGCAAATACCCAGTCCATAGCAACAATATATTATGCATAGGTTAAAAAAAAAAGCAAGTGAATTACTACATAAAATTCAAGGAAGTGTTTACCTCTACAAAGTGAGCAGGATGCAAATGGACAAAGTTACACTGGATGCTTTTAATGTGATCATGTGGTTTCTTAGCTGGATAGTAAGTACTGGAGTGCTCGTTTTATTACTGATATTATTATTAGGGTAAAGTATACCATACACACACACACATATATCTATAAGTATAGTATATAAAGCATATATGTATAGCTTATAGTTTATATATATATGAAATTAAAGAGAAAAACAGTGTTAGCTTATGTGTGTAAAGCAGATTTTCGGAAAATGGATGCTGCCAAAATCTTTACTTTTCTGAAGGTAAAAAGGGAGTTGAACCCAATACATATTCTGATGTGCCTAATAGAAAAGGCAGTATTGCAATAAATTAAAATTGCCAACTTTGGCTTATTCTTTGTATTAGTGTCATCTATTTTTTCAATCCTCCATTCTGTAAGAGAGCAAGCAAGTACCCAAGAGAGTGAAAGAGCGAGACATTTTTGACAAGATCTCACCATGTATTGATTCTCATGCCAGTCTCCTAGTTAACTAGAACCACAGATACACACCATTGTGCCTGGCCTGTTTATTAGGTTAGGCTAAGAACTGAAGCCAGGCCTCTCATGTGGCTTCAGTGATCACTTAGTGGTGCCCTCCTGCTTGTGCCACTACCACTGGGCCTGAAAAAATCCTTTTTTAAAAATAAAAAAATTGCCAGAGGGTGCATGAGCTCGAGAGAGAGAGAGAGAGAACCTATTGATAGGGCATGATCATGTCATAATCCTTTTTTCCTTCTGTTCATTCCATCAGGATTAGGGGCATGTGTGCATGACTGTCTGGTGTGTCTTTCCAGCCACCACGTTCAGAATTTGAACTGCAGTCTTCCTTGTGGGATCCAGCCCCCCACTGCATAGCACTTAAGCACTGCACTATGGGGCTGGCCTTGCAAATCCTTTTAATATTGGTGCCTACTCTACCTAACTTTCCATTTTTTTTTTTGAGAGGTTTTTGCTATAGGGTGCATGTGTTCACCAGAAAGACAGAGAGACACAGAGAGACAGAAAACGAGAAATCATCCCCCAGGGGGCATGGCCACACCACAGTCCCTTCTCCTCCATTCTCCTCTTAGGATCTTGTGCATGCACACACACACGCCCAGCATGAGTTTAAGCCACCAGGTCCAGGACTTGAACTACGGTCGACTACATGGAAGTCCAGCGACATAGCCATTACACCAACTTCTTTTCCCTCCATTTTTTAAAAAAGTTTTTTTTTTTTTTTTTTTCCTATTCTGAAAGAGAGAGAGAGAGAGAGGCATCCCAACATGGTCTTCACACCAGCCTTGGCCAGCTATGATCATGGACATGTGCTTGTGCTCCCAGCCTGCATAAGGAGACCTAAGGATGTGAACCCAGGACGTTTCCATATGGCCTCAGCATTGCAAAGTGCACTACCATTGTACTACTGCACCTGGCCTATACTGTACTTCTAATCTTAGCTGTTTAAAGATGTACCTTGTCAGGACCAGTAGATGGCATAATGGTTACATTACTGGACTCTCACATGGCTGACCATGGTTCGAGTCCCAGACCTGGAGGCTTGAAACTCACACCAGGCATGGTGTGTGTGCACACAGTCCCAAGAGGAGAATGGAGGAGAAGGGATTACAGTGGGCCATCCCCTCTGGGGGACGGGGCCGATTTCTTGCTTTCTTTCTCTGTCTCTCCAGCAACCACACACGCCCTATAGCAAAAATCTCTCTCTTAAAAAAAAAGATGTACCTTGTCAAGCAAAGGTGGAACAAGGCAAGAGATCACATATGGCTTAGGGCCATCTAACAATAACTTGGAAACATCATTCAAGGGTACATTTTATCAGTGGTAGATTAATAAAAAGGAATGACAGGAATATCCTGTAGAAAAAAAAATTTCTATTTCATTCTGCCATTATTTGCACAGGAAGTTAGTTGTTATTAAAATCTCTGAAGAAAATAAATTTGATGTTTAGGGTTTTGCCTACCAAGAATATAGCCTCAGATTCACAGTTAAGTATTGACCTTACCATTAAATGTTTGTCATTCAATGGAAATGTTTACACGTTCCTTTCCTTGAATTGTTTTCTTTAGACTGAATAAAAATATCAGAAAACATCCCTGGGGATAGACCAGATGTTATAATCTTTCATAATTTTGATTTCCTTTGATCATGAGTCACTCCACAATGGTTGAATAAAACAGGCAATTACTTGAAAATTGTCTTTCACATTCCACAGTTTTCATATCATTATGATTTTCTTGTTTAAAATAGGAGCATTTAAATCCACCTGGGCTTTTCTTGAAGATTAAAATCCTCTTGAAAGACAAAACAACTAATGAAGAACTCCTTGAAGGTATCATCTCTGTATGTTAATAACACACAATATTGAAATATTATCACCAATTTGTTGAATATAAGGCTTTTTTAGTATACCAATAATAGGTATAATTTGATGGTGGTTGAGAAGGAAATCAATCATATAGGAAAGGGAGAAGATTGTCAGCCAGTGAGAGAGAGAGAAAGAAGAAAGAATAATAGTAGCAAATTTAAAGGTGGGGCGGAGAGGGAGAGAAGAGAAGACTGAATAAAAACAATTAATTTTCTTTTGGCCCATTAGAAAATTGTGACTGCCCAGCCCTTCTGAAGTTGTCTACCATCATGAAGAAAGCTCTGCTTTTAATAACAACTTGTATAACCATTGCTACTTGTTTTTCATAATTCTCAAAGGACTAGAATGTACACAGCACAAAATAAAACTACTGATATATAGTTGTAGATCATTGGACAGACAAGTCACTTAACTTTTGTGTGCTTCAGTTTCATTTTTAAAAGATACAATTATGATATGTATACCTCATTATGATGTTTAGAGAGTCTTATGAGAAATATATATAGGTGTATGCATGTGCCCAAAATCTCAAGAGGAGAGAGGAGGAGAAGGAATTATGATGTGGCCATCCTCCTAGGGGATGGTTTCTCACTTTCCCTCTCACTGTCTCCCCCTCTCTCTCTCTCTCTCTCTCTCTCTCTCTCTCTCTCTCTCTCTCTCTCTCTCTCTCTCTCTCTCTCTCTCTCTCTCTCTCTCTCTCTCTCTCTCTCTCTCTCTTTTTCTCTCTCTCTCAGGTGAGCACATGTATCCTAAGGCAAAAACCTTTAAAACAAAACAAGACAAGAAATATATGTAAAGCACCTAGCACCATACGTACATAGTGAATAGTGTGCAATATGTGTCCTAAATTATACATTAGTATAATTGCTTATTGTTCAGTAAATAAAAATTTATAATAATTAGAACAATCATCAAATTTGGCAGTAACCTTAAATTTAATTTAGGGCTAAGTTAGTACTGCTGAATCTTTCTGTGACCTCCAGAATTTTAGCCAATCACTGAAGAGACCTCAGAAGTTCAAATGTACAGAGGATTCTGCATCTCTAGGTACCAGTGTCACCTCAGGATACAAAGGTCAAAAAATATTAGGAACCAAAAAGACAACTCCACTGCTGGGTTCCAGACACCAAGTACAGTACCTGGCACAGAGAATATGGATGCTCAGAGATTCTGCAGAATGTGAACCCAGGACCTTTCCTATGTGTTTCTAGCTGTACTATTTCTGTACCACTGCCACTTGGCCCTGTTTTCAGGGTTCTTTTTCTTTCTTTTTTTTCTTTTTTCTTTTCTTTTTAAGGTTTTTGCCATAGGTCACATGTGCTTACAGCAGAGAGACAGAGGGAAAGTTAGAAACCACCTCCCCCCCACGGGGGATGGCCTTGCCACAATCCCTTCTCCAATTTCCTTCTGGGATTTGGGCACGCATGCACACTTGTCAGGTCTGGGACTCAAATTGTGCTTGGTCATGTGCAAATCCAGTGCCTTAAATATTGCACCACCTGTTGGCCCCTGTTTTCAGTAATTTTTATTATTTATTTATTTAATTTTTGAAGGTTTTTTTTTTTTTTTTTTTTTTTTTTTCTGTAGGGTGCATGCACTCGCTAGAAAGACAGAGAGAGTGAGAGAGAGACAGAAAGCAAGAAATCACTCCCGAGGGGAGATGGCCATGCTGCAATCCCCTCTCCTTCGTACTCCTCTTGGGGTCTTGGGCACACACACACACACACACACACACACACACACACACACACATGCCCGGCATGAGTTTAAGCCACCAGGTCCGGGACTTGAACCACAGTTGACTACATGGAAGTACAGCAACATAGCCATTATGCCATCCACTGGTCCCTCAGTGATTTTTAAATGATAGCACATGCATAAGAGAGAGAGAGATCCAGAGACAATACCCTTGACAGGCTCTCATCACACTGTGATCCCTTCTTCAACCCTCCAGCTCTTTAGGATATTGGATGCCCACCTATGTCCCCAGCATATTTTCAAGACTACCCAGGGATCTGAACCTGTCATCAACCATGTAGTTTACAGCAGTGCAGTCCTGTGTTCTCGGGACCACCTACACTGGGCCATATTTTCAGTATTACTTTGATTGCCAGTGGGCATGGAGAGAGAGAAAGAAAGAGAGAGAGAGAGAGAGACTCCCTTAGTGGGGTGTAGTCAGGCTACAATCCCTCCTCCACTTTTTTAATACTGTCAGGATTTGGGGAGCAATTGTAGCCCAGGCCAGGACTTGAACCACAGTCAGCCTTGTAGGATCTGGCTCTCAATATGCAACACTTAACTGCTGCACTCCTACAGAGCCAGTCCATCAATATTTTATAAGCTAATTTTTTTAACAGACTTGTGACCATTTAGTACATATAACATTGTGTTCTAATTTTTCACTTACTATTCTTGTAAACATTTTTCATTTTAATATACATTTATTATTTCCATACTCAAAAGTTTTGATGGTTATGTAATAGTCCATTGTTGTCCTATAAGTAAACATTCAGGGCAGATTCTTTTCTATTGTTATTATAATGCATACTGATTTTAGTATCTTTGTTCATAAATCTTTCCCCATATTTATTTCATATGACTTTTTGTTTTTGAGAGAGATTTTTGCTATAGGGTACATTTGCTCACCAAATAGACATACACAGAGACAGAAAGCGAGAAATCACCCCCCAGAGGCATGGCCACACCACAATCCCTTCTCCTCCGTTCTCCTCTTGGGATTTTGAGCACGCACGCACACGCGCCCAGTGTGAGTTTCTAGCCCGTGGGTCTGGGACTTCTTGAACCATGGTCGACCATATGGGTGTCCAATGACATAACCATTACTCCATCTACTGGTCCCAATTTCATATGACTTTTTAAAGGTGTTATTTCTGAAGTAAAGTAAGTAATAGCTGCCATTTATTGAATGCTTACTAATTACTAGATGTTTTTCTATGCAATTTCCATACATTATTTCATATAATCCTTTCACTCCCCCTGAGAGATCGGTGGCATATTCCACATTTTACAGATGACAAAACTATGGTACAGAAAAATTAAGTTACTTGCCTATGGCCATAGGAGGCAAGTGGTTTTAAATTCAGGTCTGTCTGACCTCAGCTCCCCAGCTTTTAACCACAGTGCTCTTAGCAGATAGTATTGCCAAATGGCTCTTCAAGAGGATTGTACTAGGGTACTTTGCCATCCATGTAAGACTGCCAGTGTCACTATACTTTTTCTAGTATTGGGCATTAGTACTTTAAAAGGAGATTTTGATAAATTGTTAGGGAAACCATGATACATGGCAAACATTTGGTAAGTATAATTTGAATAGAGGAAAATTATTGAAAATAGCTAAGCATCCTTAAAAATGAAACTGATACGATTATTTCATTTTTTTCCCACTTTGTAAGCTGTCATGGAAACGCTACATCTTGACATGTCTTTAGACTTCTGTCTGAACATTGCTAAACTGCTGATGGATCATGAAAGGTACAGAATTGATTTTTTTTCTTTAAAGACTAACATTTCTATAAAACATGCCCAATGTGAGTTTCAAGCCACTGGGTCTGGGACTCAAATCACAATTGACCATGTGGGAGTTTAAAGATGTAAACACTATGCCATCTGCTGGCTCCTGTGTGTGTATATTCTGAGAGCATAATGTTTGTCATTGTGCTGATTAATTTAGGAGATGGACCTTCTTTCTGAATGACTTAAACAATAGTGAAGTTAATTTAAAAGTTTATGTCAAAGGACACATGTGCTTGACAATGCGTGAGAGAGACAGAGATGAGAGAGGGAATGTGAGAAATTACCTTCTGGGGAGGATGACCATGCCATATCCCTTCTCCTCCATTCTCTTCTTGGGATTTTGATCATGCACTCATGCACATGCACCTGGCATGTTTCTCAAGCTGTGAGTCCAGGACTTGAACCATGATTGTCCATGTGGGAGTCTACAGCCTTCATCACTCTACCTGCTGGCCCTGGGACCTTGAAGTTTTTATAGACCTCTTAGTGATTTTCAAATTTTGGTGTCATCAGAATTATTGAGGACTAAGCACTTGACTAAGCACTTGAAAATGATGCTCAACATCATTAGCCATCAGGGAAATGTAAATCAGAACCACAATGACAAACTATGACACACTCACTAGGATGTCTATAATGACAAAGACAGAAAATAGCAGATATTGGCAAGGATGCGGAGAGATTTTAAGTTTCCTGTACTGCTAGTTAAATGTAAAATGGAATGGATGCTTTGGAAAGCAATCTGTTAGTTCCTCAAAAAGTAAATAGGTATATAGTTACCATCTGACATAGAAATTCCTTTCCTAAGTATAAACCCAGAATTGAAAATATACATCCACATTAACACTTGTACATGAACATTCATAGCAGCATTATTCATAATAGCCAATAACTGGAAATAACCCATGTGCCTATCACACAATAACATATAGTATGTCCATAACATGAAATATTATTTATCAATAAAAAGAAAGATGCTGGCTTCATGGCACAGCAGTATAGCAGTGCTTCATAGAAGCTGGATAGCACATGATGACCATAGTTCAGATCCTGGTCCAGTTATCTGAAACATGTTGGGCATGCACATGACTGCCAAGTATCCCTCTGGCTGGAGGACTGTAGTAAGGGGATTGTAATGTGACCAGACTCTGCAGAGGATGCTTTTTTCTTTCTCTCATATGCATATGCTCTATCATGTATAAAGAAAAAAAAAGTAAAAAGAAACAAACTTTCAGGGCAGATTCTTTTCTATTGTTATTATAATGCATACTGATTTTAGTATCTTTGTTCATAAATCTTTCCCCATATTTATTTCATATGACTTTTTGTTTTTGAGAGAGATTTTTGCTATAGGGTACATTTGCTCACCAAATAGACATACACAGAGACAGAAAGCGAGAAATCACCCCCCAGAGGCATGGCCACACCACAATCCCTTCTCCTCCGTTCTCCTCTTGGGATTTTGAGCACGCACGCACACGCGCCCAGTGTGAGTTTCTAGCCCGTGGGTCTGGGACTTCTTGAACCATGGTCGACCATATGGGTGTCCAATGACATAACCATTACTCCATCTACTGGTCCCAATTTCATATGACTTTTTAAAGGTGTTATTTCTGAAGTAAAGTAAGTAATAGCTGCCATTTATTGAATGCTTACTAATTACTAGATGTTTTTCTATGCAATTTCCATACATTATTTCATATAATCCTTTCACTCCCCCTGAGAGATCGGTGGCATATTCCACATTTTACAGATGACAAAACTATGGTACAGAAAAATTAAGTTACTTGCCTATGGCCATAGGAGGCAAGTGGTTTTAAATTCAGGTCTGTCTGACCTCAGCTCCCCAGCTTTTAACCACAGTGCTCTTAGCAGATAGTATTGCCAAATGGCTCTTCAAGAGGATTGTACTAGGGTACTTTGCCATCCATGTAAGACTGCCAGTGTCACTATACTTTTTCTAGTATTGGGCATTAGTACTTTAAAAGGAGATTTTGATAAATTGTTAGGGAAACCATGATACATGGCAAACATTTGGTAAGTATAATTTGAATAGAGGAAAATTATTGAAAATAGCTAAGCATCCTTAAAAATGAAACTGATACGATTATTTCATTTTTTTCCCACTTTGTAAGCTGTCATGGAAACGCTACATCTTGACATGTCTTTAGACTTCTGTCTGAACATTGCTAAACTGCTGATGGATCATGAAAGGTACAGAATTGATTTTTTTTCTTTAAAGACTAACATTTCTATAAAACATGCCCAATGTGAGTTTCAAGCCACTGGGTCTGGGACTCAAATCACAATTGACCATGTGGGAGTTTAAAGATGTAACCACTATGCCATCTGCTGGCTCCTGTGTGTGTATATTCTGAGAGCATAATGTTTGTCATTGTGCTGATTAATTTAGGAGATGGACCTTCTTTCTGAATGACTTAAACAATAGTGAAGTTAATTTAAAAGTTTATGTCAAAGGACACATGTGCTTGACAATGCGTGAGAGAGACAGAGATGAGAGAGGGAATGTGAGAAATTACCTTCTGGGGAGGATGACCATGCCATATCCCTTCTCCTCCATTCTCTTCTTGGGATTTTGATCATGCACTCATGCACATGCACCTGGCATGTTTCTCAAGCTGTGAGTCCAGGACTTGAACCATGATTGTCCATGTGGGAGTCTACAGCCTTCATCACTCTACCTGCTGGCCCTGGGACCTTGAAGTTTTTATAGACCTCTTAGTGATTTTCAAATTTTGGTGTCATCAGAATTATTGAGGACTAAGCACTTGACTAAGCACTTGAAAATGATGCTCAACATCATTAGCCATCAGGGAAATGTAAATCAGAACCACAATGACAAACTATGACACACTCACTAGGATGTCTATAATGACAAAGACAGAAAATAGCAGATATTGGCAAGGATGCGGAGAGATTTTAAGTTTCCTGTACTGCTAGTTAAATGTAAAATGGAATGGATGCTTTGGAAAGCAATCTGTTAGTTCCTCAAAAAGTAAATAGGTATATAGTTACCATCTGACATAGAAATTCCTTTCCTAAGTATAAACCCAGAATTGAAAATATACATCCACATTAACACTTGTACATGAACATTCATAGCAGCATTATTCATAATAGCCAATAACTGGAAATAACCCATGTGCCTATCACACAATAACATATAGTATGTCCATAACATGAAATATTATTTATCAATAAAAAGAAAGATGCTGGCTTCATGGCACAGCAGTATAGCAGTGCTTCATAGAAGCTGGATAGCACATGATGACCATAGTTCAGATCCTGGTCCAGTTATCTGAAACATGTTGGGCATGCACATGACTGCCAAGTATCCCTCTGGCTGGAGGACTGTAGTAAGGGGATTGTAATGTGACCAGACTCTGCAGAGGATGCTTTTTTCTTTCTCTCATATGCATATGCTCTATCATGTATAAAGAAAAAAAAAGTAAAAAGAAACAAACTACTGATATATGTTGCAACATGGATAAATCTTGAAAATATGTGAGTGAAAGAAGACAGTTGCAAAAAATTCATATATTACAAGATTCCATTTACATGATATGTTCAAATTTTCAGACAAAAAGTAGATTAGTAGGCATTTAGGGCTGTAGAGTTTGGGGGGAAATGGCGAGTGATTACTAATGGATTTAGGGTTTCTTAGTGGCATGATAAAAATGTTCTAAATTTTATTGAGTGATGGTTGTACAACTCTCAGACTATACTAAAAACCATTTAATTGTATACTGTAAATCTTATAGTATGTGAATTATACCTCAGTAAAGCTGTTATGAATATTAATCACTGGGAGCCAGATAAAATATAAAGGTCAGGCCTTATATTACTTCAACAAGCCTAGGTCTGCATTCTTCATCAGTTCTTCAGGTGGTTCTGATAACCACTATTCTAGACCAGAAGTTAGGAAACATTTCTTTTTTTCTCCTTTTTTCCCCAGATTTTTGCCATAAGGTGTGTGTGCTTGTCAGAAAGAGAAAGAGAGAAGAGAAAGTGAGAAATCACTCCAGAGGGGGATTGGCTGGGACACCATCCCTTCTCCTCCATTCTGCCCTCAAGATTTTGGGCACACACACACATGCACCCAGTGTGATTTTCAAGCCACCAGGTCCAGGATTTCAACCACAAAGTTAGCTATGTGAGCTCCAGCTGCCTTAATCTCCATGCCACCTGATGGTCCAGGAGATAGTTCTATAAAGGACAAGGTAGAAAATATTTTAGGTTTTGCCAGCGATAAGGTCTTTGACATACTTATTCAACTCTGCTGTTGTAGTTTTGAAAGCAGCCATAGACAGTATACAAAAGTGTGGATATATCTGTGTTCTTATAAATTTGTTTTTAATAGAGTCTCACCATGTTGCAATTCTCCTGTCTCAGCCTCCCAGCTGGAATTGTAGGCATGTACCATCACTTTCAGCTGTTTTTTAGATATGATCTTGCTATGTTGCTCAGGCCATCGTCAAGGTTACAATCCTCTTGCCTCAGTCTTCCCAAGTCGGGTGTATTACAGGTGTATGCCACCATGCCTGGTCTGTAGGTCTGACCGGGAATCAAACCCAGGCCTTCTATGTGCTGCAGACCACAGTATATTAGTAGTGTGTGCCACTGTGGCTGGACCCTAATAAAACTTTATTTGCAAAAACAGGTGACTGATTGGATTTGGTCTGCAGCTATAGTTTGCCATCCTTGTGATAATCCAGTCTCCTTCTTACCTGCCACATGAGTTCTATGCTTTCTTGGGTGAAAAGTAAGAATACCTCTGGAATAGTGGGGCCCATTACATTTTTTATAATATAATGTTAGAACAGAATTGATACATGTTTTCTAGTAATTTCTAAGGCTGTTCATTGCCACATAGCATCTAAATCTTTGACTCTTGTTCCTCAGTTCATTCTAGCATTGTTCATGATATGATCACTTCT